TAGCACTGAAGGCAAGTTTCAGAGCCTTTATAGAAGCTCTTATCTTGTAAAATGTGCTTCCTTAATACATTGTGCACTTGCCCTACTCAGCCTTTTGTTGCCGTGATTACACACGCTCTCCTCCTTCGCCCCATGCTACAATCCCTTTTTGTGTATTCCCACTGGGCACGCTCGCTCCATTGACTGCAGGCAGGCGGGCACGCGTGTGCTGCTCTGCCCTGGCGAACGGTTGTGCGCCGCCTTTGGGGACGGGGGATTGAAAGGCTTTTCTTTTCTGGGCATGAAGGTCACTTTTTTTTCCCCCTTCCTTTGCAGTTCATTCTCAGCTTGCCTGTTTCACCGCCACGGCTTTGGTGTGGGACTGTAATCGATGCTTTGGGGGTGTGTTGGTAGGCTGGCCCTGTAACTGAACAAGTCTGGGCGTCCGTATGGGCGTGCTGTCCCACTGTGTTTGTTCTGCAAATGGAACTGTCTCTCTCCCTCGTGAGGCAGATCTGTGTGTTCAATCTGAATGCTGACAAAAAATAAAGAGCTTTTCATAATTGTTGTTAGTTGTGTAGAAGCGCTTCCTGCTGCGGTGCCTTTTAGACACCCCCTCAGCTGTTATCCTGTGGAAGGAGAGAGACAGAGAGTGTTCCCTCCCATGCACTTTACTCATTCGATTAAGGATAAAATTGAATCTTTCCTAAAAGACTGGGTAGCCTTAAAAATGAATGGTTAGAAAAACATGAGGTAAATTATTTTTTTAATACTATTTAGAAGTAACTATTAAAATAAAAGGATTTACTGATGGAGGTAAAAGGAAAACCTGAATCTAGGAGGTTGCATTGTACATTTACCTTTTGAGTTGTTGAACTCTGAGGATCAGGTAATTAAGTTAATGAGCCAGGGAAGAGATGAAAGTAAGTGATAGGAAATGCCATCCTGTAAAATGATAAAGTTCCAGAAGGAGTTGAAATTCCTGTATTGCCCAGATGAACTTGACCATGGCCTTGGCTCTGCACTATCCCCAGGTGACAGTGTTGCTTCTGAGGTGTACACACCAAGGAGCGGTTGATGTTTTTGTGGCATAAAATAGTGCTCCATCTCTGTGCTTTTTTTTTTAAAAAAACACGATTGTAAACTAGTAAAACCATACGAAGTTCTTTGGGAGAAGGGAGATCCCATCACCTGCTGCAGAGGCAGCTCTGCTGTTAAAGCCGATGCATTCGTGTGTCTCTTCAGGGGGTTCTCCCAACACACGTGCAAAAGGAGTGTAAGTCTTCTCACAAAGCTCAAGATCCCCTCCTCCTTGGTGTTGTGTCAGGTGAAGTCTGCGTCTCACGTAGCACACGATCTGAAGATAATAGACAGCCTACTGCATGCACATTCTTTTAATTGCAGAAAATGTAACTTGTAAAATGCCAGGTGCGGGGGAATCTGTGGGGATTCCTGTGTAGAAATGAAGATCCGAAGAGAGTGCCGATGGGCCAGGTGTCTGCCTTTCATGAGGACATTGCCTGTGTCACATCTGGTGCCAGCAGAGCTGCAGTCCCTAGGTGGTAAGGAAGATTTGCAGTCAGGGGAGGGCTGAGCTGTCAGGTGAGCCAGGGATCAAGCAATATCGTGGCGGTCTGATGGCACGTGAAGGATGCTGTGCAGTGCAGCGTGGCTCTGACGAGCAGGGGCTCAATTAAGGTTCTCCCGGACACCAGGCAAGGGAGATGCACGTCACACTGGGCATCGGGTGTGAGGAAGTTCTGGTCTGTCAAACGTAAAATGACAGACTCGTTTGTAATCTCTCATTGCTAATCCCTATGGTTTTTACATCTATGCCTCCCTTGTGGCAGCTGATAGCTTTCTTTTCTTGCCAGCTACTTAAAAATGAAGTATACTGATAATGGTCTTAGGAGTTAAATGAAATGTTTAATGTAGAGCTTCATAGGAAAGAAAACCAGGTCAGATCTTAAACATGACTGAGTAGCCTTTACTATTTATTTGTACCCGATTGCAGCTTACCACAGGTGGATGCAGCCAAAGTTCGTTACACACATTTCTTCCTAGATATGAGGTGTTTTCTCCCAGTAAGTAATCAGCTTGAGAATGTGTCGCAGAAGGCACATAACTACATGCACAATTTTTTCCTCTGAATTATTTAGAAGTTGAGAGCAACTCGATTTAACTCTTACATATGCAAAGAAGGACACTAAATAGGAATAAAATATCCGTATCTGATCTCCCTTGACAGGCTGCTGCCTACCTACAGTGCTGGCTTTGTCTTCCCTGCACACGTTGGAAGTTTGCTGGGGGTAAAGACCTATTCATCTGTCCGCCCTGGGGAGTCACAATACATCAGCTCCGTTTTGTCTGCACTGCACCACAGCGTAGTGCAAACATCGGATGGCCTTCCATGTGATCTCATCTAAACCCAAATCTGTGCCACAAAGGTGGTTTTTTTTGCAGTGGTGTTCCGAACATGGCCTTTTTTCCTCTTGGCTTCCTGACACCACCTCCGAGAGGCAGACGCTCTGGGTTTGCCCAGCACAGCACCCCCATGGAACAGGCAATGCAGCTTCACGCTTTAAATGCCTGAGAACAAAATCTGTAATCCAACTGTTCTTCAGTTATGCCTGCTTTTCTTCTCAATTTATTCATTCTGTATGAAAATATTTAGTGTATTAAAGACTGGATCATCTTTTCTTGTGAACATGCTGCATAATGGGGAAGGTTTCCCGAAAGTTTTCTTACAAGTGGATTCCCATGTGTTGCCTGTTAGTCACAGCTAATTACAGAGGCCAGTGAATGAAGAATATATTGGAGCTCAGGTTCCCCTCCTCCTCCTCCCCCAGTGCTTCGGAAGAAAATAAAATAAAAAACCTGCAGACAAATCCAGGTTTTTCTGTAGTCATAGTCTCTGAAGAGCTCCAGAGAGATCACAGATGTGGTTTCACATTTCAGGTTTAACTATGGTGTAGTAACTACAGTATTGTCTGCGGGAGAAATGCAAGTGGGGAAAGAATCATTAATTGACAGTGAAAAGTTCAACAAATGTACTGTGTGTTTGTGGGGTTTTTTTAAGCAGTTGAATGTTTAGCCAAACCATATTTTAACTTTAAACTGCATCCCTGAAGGTTGTAATAATCCTCGTACGTTAAAACTTAGGAAAATTAAAGGAAATTCTGCTTTTCTATGACTGACCTTTCTGAAACTCTTGTGGTATAGCTAAAGCTAAGACACATGCTTCAGTTCTAATTCAATTGCATACAAACCTCGTGTGAGGCACAGTGACTGCACTTTACAGCATATGAACTTTTTTAGGTGTTTCACTGGGTGCAGAGTAAGCCAGCAGTGAGGGGTCAAGTTTCGTTGCTATGCACATGAGGAACCCCAAGCTCACATAAAATCTTGAGCTAACATTTAATGTTCCCATCTTTTGTTAGTGCTCATCCAGCATCTAGGAAGTCTGCTAGGTGGAACGAGTTCCTATGTGTGTGTGGGACAAGAATTGGTTCAGTAGGACTGGGACTGCATGGGGATGTGTCTGTTATTGTTTATTAAGGCACCAGTGACCTTCCTGCTCCTGTATTAGCAGCGCCTGCTGTTTTCCCATACTGCCAATTGTCAGGAATTCAGACCGTCCATAAAAATGGGTATAATCTTTATTGCTCAAATTATTGTCTCTGGAAAACAAAATACTTTAATTAAAAAAAATAAAAATCACGCATGTAA